ACACACGTATGTATACATATGTATTTTTTTGTTAGGATGAAGATAAATTGAAAGCAGAAGGCCCATCTACCGAGGAATTAGAAAGGGTAGAAAGAATGAAAGCAGAACTGCTTAGTCGATCAAGCGAAAAGTCTAGTAGTCCGTTAGGATCGGCGTCGAGCAACAGTATCGGCCGTTATTCTCTAGGTCCGCATAAGCTCCCGGGCGTGAGTCCACAGGGTTCCAAAGAAAGACGTAAATCTGCCGGTGATCAAGATTTGATTAAGCAATTAAATATGTTTGTAAGGACTAGGACGGATTCTGGCAAGCGTCTTACCGATATGGTTTGTCGATCGATTATCCTAAACGCAGATACTTGATTTTCATATTAAGAATATTAATGGAACGATCGTTTTCATGGTGCCATCTGTTGCAGGAAATTCTGGAACAAGTGCCTGTAACGAATTTAGACACAGGGGAACAGGTGCCATTAAGTATAGCGGAAGATAAATTACCGCAGTGTATCAATCCTTTGTCATTACACATTATGAGACTCACTAAATCTAAATACATGAGCACGTCTAGTCTGGAGAAGGAAAAAGAGAGCGATGAAGAAAGCGTAGATAGTAAAATGTCTAGTATACCCCCGGACGAAGATGTATCCGTAGACAGAGTTCGTAAGCGGACGCAGAAGTTGAAACGATTTCTAGGATCGACCGTAAAAAAGACTATGAACAAAGCCAAATCTATCGCGCAAGAAGTGTCGCACGCGAGACATAAAGAAGATGTCATGGACATAGTGGACGAAGTTTATCCCGGTGAACAACAGTACATAAAATTGAAGGCATCGAACAGTCACAAAGGTCCGTACGAGTTCAGTTGTCTGCAGCACGTTCAAGATCTTAGCGGGGAACACGTAGGACCGGTCTGGTGCATGAAGTTTTCAGCCTGCGGCCGACTGTTGGCCACTGCGGGACAAGATCGCGTTCTACGAATCTGGGTTCTGCGAGACGCCTTTACGTATTTTCAGGACATGCGAACCAAGTATAACGCGGAGAAAGTCAGTCCTACTCCTTCACAGGAATCTTTAGTCTCGCAGCAATCCATGGAAGATCCCAACATCGTGGCTAGTGCCTTCAGTGAGATAGAAGGAACGAAAAGTCCGTTCATGCCAAAGCCCTTTTGCACATATACCGGTCATACCTCGGACTTGCTCGACGTCTCGTGGTCCAAGAACTATTTCGTTTTATCCTCGTCGATGGACAAAACTGTACGGCTTTGGCACATATCCCGCAAGGAATGCCTATGTTGCTTTCAACACATCGACTTTGTCACCGCCATAGTATTCCATCCACGAGACGATCGATATTTTCTCTCAGGATCTCTGGACGGCAAATTACGCCTATGGAATATTCCAGATAAAAAGGTCGCGGTATGGAACGAAGTGGACGGACAAACAAAGTTGATTACCGCGGCCAACTTTTGTCAAAATGGGAAATTCGCGGTTGTAGGGTCGTACGATGGTCGTTGCATATTTTACAATACCGATCAATTGAAGTACCATACTCAGATACACGTCCGATCGACAAGGGGGAAAAATTCCACCGGTCGCAAGATCAGTGGAATCGAGCCTATGCCGGGAGAAGACAAAATATTGGTTACATCGAACGACAGTCGCATTCGTCTGTACGATCTGAGAGACTTAAACTTGTCGTGCAAATACAAGGGATATGTCAACGTCAGTAGTCAAATTAAAGCGAGTTTCAGCCCAGACGGGCAATATATAGTTAGCGGTTCTGAAAATCAGTGCATTTATATCTGGAAGACCCATCACGATTATTCCAAATTTTCTAGCGTTCGTAGGGATCGAAATGATTTCTGGGAGGGCATAAAGGCGCATAACGCCGTAGTAACGTGTGCCGTGTTTGCACCGAATCCAGACAGTATTATCAAGCAAATCGAAGCGAGAGAACAATGGGAGAGCAAGGAGGAGAAAGGCGTGGATAGTTGCAACGTAAGTGTCATTCCCGTTGATCCTGTCGTCGAGCAACGCACTAAGGGTTGCGGAGGTCACGTTCTCGTAAGCGCCGATTTCAATGGGTGTATAAAGGTTTTTTTAAACAAGACAAAACCGAAGCACAGTTCCCTACCGGCATCTGCACTTGCATAATGTAACGTAACGTAATGTGTAACGTATGCACGAGCGTATTTTGTTGCGTGAATGCGCGTTCCCTTGCCTCCTTTCGCCGCTTATAGGTTTGTCTCGAACGGTATTTTTTCCTTAACGGTATTTTTATGCCAGGTACACAAGCATTACTTAATCTTTGTGAGTACGCGTGCGCATGTATGCATGTAAATAGTTTTAAATGATTTATATACATATATATGTATGTATGTACATCAATGACAAAGATTTCTTTCTTAAAATCGTGCACGTTTAAGTTTAAAAACAACTGATATCTGTCAATTCCAACGTAATACGCTCTAATGGGAATACATAATACCGCAGTGTAAATTTCCCTGAAAGTTTTATTGTGTTAGATAAAACAAATTTTGTGTACATACTTGCATATTTCTAACGGATGTCTAAAAAATTTTTCCATTTTTTGCTTCCTTCGTATCACGACTCGCGACAGTGCTGGTCCACTGTTACCAAGAAAAAAAAAAGAGATAAAAGTTACTAATATTCCACAAAGAGAGATTTATCAAAATTATATCATAATACGATAGCGATAAGTCGTTAGTGTGTGGACATGCCACAAATTTCGAATTGTTCTTGAACACTGTATGTACGATAAAGGCACAATGAAGACGAGAGCACCTTGGTGAAAACGAAGTATAAAAAGGAAGTACGGATGATGGCAAAATATCCGAGAATAGCTCCTTTCATTCGTTATATATGTCAAAGATCTCTCAGATCTATAAAAGTGACTTGATTATTTATTGGTAGTGAAACAGGTTAAAATAGGGATTGCTAATTTTTACAAACATTGAATCAGATTTTGCAAAATTCTAATGCTTTCTAAATCGTGTTCTTGTCGAGAACACATATAATAGTTGTAAGATAGCGTAACACATCGAAGACAATATCAAAGATGTTTTAAAACTAAAATGTATCATACGTGCGTTGTTTGTTTTTTTACGCATTTTAAAAAGTGTAATAAAACGCCGTATCTTTATCGTAAAATTTTAAATAACGCATACGAGACACGCTACAATTGGACATTGTGCTATATACATATAACATAATACAACGTTAGTTACCGTGATTAAGCGTACATATGTAGTTTATATCTCGTACATTGATACTTTATGTAAAAATTGTCATATGCTCACGGTACTCGCTGATCTAGAGTTTAATATCGTACATAAGATATATTGGATTAATATCGATGCAAATCATGTACTTTCGCGTTCTGCCAATTGTAAGAACGGAAATTATTATTCACATGTATATAGGTCGCGCGCGAAAGGACAGCGTTTGATACTCTTTGTTTGAGATTACATGCACACTTGTTTTTTTTTTTGCACAACCCCGATAGGAAAAGATTTATAACATTAGGTGCTTTCCATTTACATCAAAACTCAGATAATTCTCACTTGTGACGTCGTTCTATCCTTTTTGGGAATTAATGAATAATAAAGACAGAATGACCACAAGTGAGAATTATCTGAGTTTTGATGTAAATGGAAAGCAACTATTATATATGACGAAATCTGTATGAACGTGGGAATACTGCAATTATCTCAATATTTGCTACAATATATTAGTAGATAGTTTAGACCTTTGCGCAAATATCGTTGAATATTTGCACAATTTATTTCTAAATATTATTTCAGCAAAATAGCAGCGTTATGAGGAATTATCTTAGCGGAATATTTGCAAAATTAAATTTGGAAAAAACGTGGGAAATAATTGTGAAATAATTAAAAAATATGTCAGAGTTTTATTATACATAAACCGGTAAATATGTACTCCTGTATTACGTAGCATATTCTCTGTTTGCTGAGTCGCTGATAAATAGCATCTTTTTTGTGATGTTGCTTATTCTAAATATCGAAATAATTGTGCAACATTTTAACTTTCAATTAAATTTCTCAATTTTTGTGCAAATATTTAGAAATTTTATGCCGGCAAGAACGCTGCGTTATAAGGAATCATCTTAGGATAATAATCGCGTGAAATTTCTCTCAATTGAATGATGCAATTATTGTACAATATTTGCACAATTTTTCTATCGGGGTAGTTATATGTAATTTAGAAACATAAGGCTCGTATTCATATATAGTTCGTTCTTAAGTATATATTATTATTCAAGACCGTCTTAAGTGTAGTCTTCAGATACTAATACGGCTCTGCGATGATTGGTTGATAACGTTTTAAGATTGCACATACTTAAGACGGTTTTAAATATATAAGAACAAACTATACTGGCCATAATCACTCATAAGACGTCGAAATATATGTATATTCGAATCGGATCAAGTTTATAGCCACAATTGTAAAATGATTAACATTTGCAGTGTAATGAGCCAGCTAGATACGAGTTTCACAGATAGCGTAAAATACGTTTAAATTGTATCGCGATTACAATGTGTAAGTATGCAGGGAAGAATTGTAATTATTATTTTGTGTAAACGCAAATTGTAAATATATAATTATAGTGCATCGATATTGTTGTATCAATAATGTGATGATATCCAACGGATCAAATTTGAACAAAAGTTAGAGAAAAATGTCGGTAAGTATTTATAGGCCTAGTTATTTACACCGGCCGTTTGTATCATCGTACCAAATACTATATTCGTATCAAATCCGTGTCAAATCTCGGTTTACACCGGTATAACCCGAGATTTAAATATGACGTTGATATGGATACAGACAGAGTTGTGTTTAATTTAAATTTTAAGCGCCGTGTATATCGCGGCGCCGATTGGTCCCTTCTGCGGGCTCTAGGGAGTTGTGTTAATTTTAATTTTAAGCGCCGCGTATATCGCGGCGCCGATTGGTCCCTTCTGCA